TCTTTACACATATAGTATTGAAGAAGAAGCACAAACGAGTTATTGCACACCTTGCAGGCTTCTCCAAAACAGAACGAATTGCCACAGGGAGAAATTGTTGCATTAAGGTATGACAATCATGTGATTTAAGGCCAAGAAGTCTTGAATTTTGTAAAGATACAAGATTTTTTTTTTTATATTTGAAGAATAACCTTCAGGGACCTTCATACCATAGAAAGAATTGCAAACCGCTCTCTTCTCTGCTCTTGACAAATTCCAAGGCCCTGGAGGCAAACGAGTACGTCTTTCTCCATACTCGGGTTGCAAATCAGTTTTGACCCCCATGTTCAATAAATCTAACCGAGCAGCAATCCCATCTTTATTTTTTCCAGGGATCTCCAGCAATGTACCAATGATACTATCACAAACATTCTTCTCAATATGCATAACATCTAGGACATGCCTCACTGGAAGGTATTTCCAATATTCGAGATCAAAGAATTTTGACTTCTTCTTCCAACAAACTATGTCACCATCATTTTCACCTCCACCTCCCCCTTTTTTCGAGCCCCATATGTAATTAATATCTTCAACCATATGCAGCACTTCTTCTCCAATTAGTGGCTCGAGAGGCTTGCCATATTCAGGTTTCCCATTAAAAGCTGCACATTGCCTCCTATATGGATGATTGATTGGTAACTATTTTTTATGCCCAATGTAACAAATTTTGTGGCCATTTTTCAACCTGTGACTAGGTGTATCATCGCCGCATATTGGACAAGCTCTATATCCTTTAACAACACAACCAGATAAGTTTCCATAGGCGGGGAAATCATTAATTGTCCACAGTAATGCAGCTCTGAGTGTAAAGTATTCTCCTATATGTGCATCATACACGCCTCTAATCCCATCCCACAAAGCTTTTAAATCATCAATCAAAGGCTCCAAGTAGACGTCTATATCATTTCCGGGTTGTTTAGGACCGGAAATCAATAAAGTCAACATCATGAAAGAGCCAATCAGATGACCGGAAATCTATATCTGCTACTTAGAGAACTGTGGGGATTGAATCCATCAGATGAAAGAGCCAATCTCAAGTTTCTTTGCTCATTACCAAACTCGGGCCATTTATCATCAACAAGTTTCCAAGACGGGGAATTCGCCGGATGAGACATCTGACCGTCAATTGATTTTTTAGCAGCATGCCAAGTCAAACTCTTAGTTGTCTCATGTGATTGAAACATCCTTTTAAACCTTGGAATTGGAGGAAAATATCACACCACCTTCGCTGGCACACCCTCTTTCAAGATTGAATCTTTACCTTCCTTCCACCTTGAGATACCACAAGTAGGACAATTAGTTGAATCTTCATACTCCTTCCTATACAAGATGCAATCATTGGGGCATGTGTGGATTTTCTCATAACTCAACCCCAATGCACACAATGTCTTTTTTTCCTCATACATAGAGGCCAATATTATATTTCCTTCTGGAAGCAACTTGCCATGAAGTATCAATAATTCTGTAAAACAGACATCACTCATCCCATGTTTTGCCTTCAAATTATACAACTTCACTAATACCAATAACTTGGTGTACTCTCTACAACCAGGGTACAATGGTTGATCTCCATCCCCAATCACATTAGCAAACTCATAAGGATCGGATCCAAAATCACTAAAATCATTATCATCCATCTCTATTTCTTCAGACACAAAACTGTACCTACTATGGTCATCATCTTCTTCAACATTTCTACTAGCATTAGTAGTTGCTTCCCAAGGTTCTTCGTGAAATGTCCAATTCTTATAGCTTTGGTCAACTCCATTAAAGTATAAGTGATCCCTTATAATTCCAACTCCAAACAATTTCAAATTCACACATTTAACACATGGACAACGGATTTGCGTTGTAGTTAGAAGATTTTCTACAGAAAATTTCAAAAATGCTTCCACCCCTAACTCATATGCATTCGATCTTCTATCCGAGTGCATCCATGACTTATCCATCTCCGACACGATACCCTATTATCTATAATAAAGTGAAAAGACAAGCAATGACCATCACTATAGCAGATTATATAGGGTTTTAATAGCAAGT